TAGTAGTCGAGTTAGGAAGGAAAGTATGAACATCTTATTATGAGCGGATGATATTGATCTTGAGGTATCAAATTAGTCGATCAGACTTGAGCGACACAACACTAGTACTAGCCTATCTTGGCCTGATGACACGACCCATGTTAAGTATGAACGGTCCAACATGTATACAATAATGATTTATAATTGTCACTAAAAGTAGATGACAAAGTCTTAAACCACAGAGTTATGCTACATTTACAAAGAGGATTGACAAAGTTGGATGACAAAATCACATCCACACCAATTATTTCAAAAACAAATTTTTAAATCATTTGAAAACAATAGCCTGAATTCTGTCAACACACTTTGTAACTCAACTTTTGTAATTCAACTTTGTACAAGTAGCTTTTCTGTAAACCACATTAATACCAGTCAAGTGAGGAATGATGGTATTAACATTATTTTTTTAAATAAAAGGATGATATTGATCTCGAGGTATCAAATAAGTCGATCTAATTCACGGGGCACAACACTTCCAGAGGCCCATCCTGACCACTGACACAATCCACATTAAATATGGACGATCAAGCGTTATATTTTTAGATAACTGTAAAAAGCATACAATAATGATTTATAAATGTCACCAAAAGTACACGACAAAGTTTAAATAAGGGAAAATTGCAGCCGAAGTACCAAACATTTCGTTTATTAGCAGACTTTGCCCAAACTTTTGATTTGTGCCACCGTGAGTACCAAACCTTTAAAAAATATGCAGCTCAATTCCAAAATGACAGTTTCCGTCTGTTTGACCCCAAAATCTGTCAGTTGACCCCAAAAATTAAAAATCTGATTATTTTTCCCAAATACAGCAAGGGCAATTTGGACATATCACATTTTCCTTATTAAATTAAAAATTAAAAAAGCAAAAAGCAAAAACCATAACCCCCCCCCCATTCCATCTCCTTCTTCCCCAATTGGATGATTATCCATGACTTTTACCAGTAGAATAATGGCACAACTGGATGATTACCCATGACCTTTCCATCACCAATTGAAGTTTGGATAGTCGAATTGAACAATTGGAGCAATATAGAAACATCAAATTCCCTAGAATTGAAGTTATCGCACACAGCCTTAATTGCACCCATGAATTCGCTCAATTTTGGACCAAATTGGACTTGACCCATGGCTGGGCAAGGTGCGCCAGGTGGAGAGGAGGTTAGCCATGGTGGTCTGCGATCATGGGTCTACCGGACGGCGCCGAAATCTGAGATTTTTGGACCCTGTTGCGCAGGCTACGCGATCGCGACCAGCGATTCTGTTGTTGTTAATTCCATGTGTTTGTGTACTGTTTGGGATTGATTAGGACCATTGTTGGAGTTAGATTTGGGTGGGCCATCGACCTGTATTGGGTTCTGATCAAAGAGATGACCGGAGGTGGTGATTCTGGCAGTTTCATCAGCTGACTTTGTTGATTAATTGCGACCGAATCAACTGGTTTTATGGGGAGATGATCAGTGTTATTGAAGAGGAGGTCAAGGGCTTTTCGATGGTACCAATATTCGATGGTCTAGGTGGTCGGAAGTCATTGGAATTATGCTCCAATTGTAGTAGTGCCGAAGGTGGTGGTGCCGGAGGTGGTTTTAGGTGGTGGTGATGCTTAGTGCTTTGGAGTGAGGGGGTTGGGGAAGAAGGAGATGGGGTGGGGGGTTATGGTTTTTCTTTTTCCTTTTTTAATTTTTAATTTAATAGGGAAAATATGATACGTCCAAATTGCCCTTACTGTATTTGGGAAAAATAATCAGATTTTTAATTTCTGGAGTCAACTGACGGATTTTGGGGTCAGACAGACGGAAACCGTCATTTTGGTCTTGACCTGCATATTTTTTAAAGGTTTGGTACTCACGGTAGCACAAATCAAAGGTTTGAGCAAAGTCTGCTAATAAACGAAAGTTTTGGTACTTCGACTGCAATTTTTCCTTTAAATAATTAAAGAGATATAAAGTAGACGACAAAGTTGCAAACCACGTTAATGCTAAATAGTAGTTGAGTGACGAAGGATGGTACAAAAATCAATTATTATTATTATTATTATTATTATTATTATTATTATTATTATTTTAATAAAGGGATGATATTAATCTCAAGGTATCGGTCAAACTCACGTGACACGACACTCCTGGAGGCACATCTTGGTCTGGTGACATAATTCACATTAAGTACGAACTATCGAGCGTATAATTTTAGATGATGTTAAAAAATATATCATAAATATTTATAGATGTCACTAAAATGAAAACACTAGTCAATATAAGGTCATTCTATATATTAGAAATGTTTTGTGGACATGATGGGCAGACAAGAATTTGGTTCACAATCAAAGACTTTTCCGCGACAATATACATTGGAAATGAGAGAATTGTTCAAAATCAAAATTAGTTTCTCTTTTACCTAGCACTATTGTAATAATAGTCAAATGTGTCAAGGTAGGTAAAGATTATTATTTTTTATTTATTTATTTTTTTAAATCATTGCTGATATTTCTATCACCAAAGTCTAAAAGGTCATTCTCAAAATTCTTTTCCATAGTGGATTCAACGCAAATATCGATTCAGTTTAATTTATACGGTATTTTGATTCGACTGTGACACCATAAATGGATGTACATTTATCAGTAATGGTTAGTGATGCATTACTCGCCGATCATTGATTAAGTAGCACCCATCCTTCCTTATTTTGTTAATATTTTATTGATAATTTTCTGAACTCTATTTTTATTGAAGAATGTATCTTGAAATAATAGATTGATAGATAATGTGTGGTTTAAAAAAAAAATTAATTTACGTGTAATATTATTTAACTAAAGATTGCGTGATTGAAAAGAAGAGAGAGAAAAATATATTTTGAAAATAATAGAGATTAAGCAAGGGTTATAGTACTCATTTACTTTTATCTATAACATTATGGCGCTCAACGAAATTTCTCTTCGTGAACATTTATTTATTTTATTGCTTTATTTATTGACAAAAATTTTGGTAGTAAATTAAATTTACTGAAATACTTATTTTTTTACACTATTAACTAAAAATCAGTTTATATTTTTTCAAATTGTTATTTAACTGTCAATAGAATTTGTTAATTGTAATTTTTATTTTTGAAATTTTTGTTTAATTACGAAAATCTTTTTAGTAAATTAAATTAATTGAGATAATTTTTTAAAATTTTCAACGATGAAAAACTTAATTATTAATGTTAAGTTAATTTTTTTAATTTTATTATTATCTCATGACTTTTTTGTTGATAATATTTATTATTTATATTAAATTCTTTCTTTCCAACTTAGCCAAAGTTCTTGGCTCACGTCAATTCGCCCTATCTAAATTCTAAAGCCTCATAAACTTTGATGTTGGGGCATTGGAAGCCACGTGTACAATTTACACTTGTCATCTAAGGGATGCACATAGTGTACTACCCACAGACAATTAGACTTCCTCGAGCATCTACCAATCAAAAACAAGCACAAGCAGCAATACCATATCCGTAATTATAGCTAAGATAAAGGTTATTTATGTAATTTTAACCTTAACCTTATTAGAAGCCTCATCCTATTCCTACCTGCAAGTGTCAGTTGTGGGACCCACATTGTCTAATTCATAAAAACAATACTAAAATAGAAAATTCAGAGCCCAATTTAATGCTAATTAAATATTAATTTCCCCAAATATTAACAAGAAGATTAGAGAACGATTGTGTACCAAGTTGGTTGGGTTTGTTGTTAAGAAATAATGCATGCCGGTACATCCCTAGTCCAAGATCCATGAGAAAAGCGATCAAGTCGATAAATATGTATAGTTTAATTTACTATTTTCTTTCATTGTGTAAAAGTTAACTCTAATGTAGACCTCGACATTCAAGAGTCATAAACAGATAAAGCTCTATTCAATAAGCAAAACATATTATTGTAGTAATGGTTGAAGAACGATGATAACTGATTTTTAAACCTACAATCTTAACGCCAAAGAGTTGGTTTGTTATTGTAAAGATACGGTCTCTGTGCTAAAATCTTTAATTTACGTACTATCTACTTTAGAAGAGTCTAAGCTTAATTAGTTCCAAAATTCAACTTAAATTTCTTTTAAGCGTAGGTCATGTACTCGAATTCTAAGAAGATGATAGAAAGTCATGAGGGATAAAATGAACTAAAATTTCCCATGACTAACAGTACGTAAGTTAATGGCCTAAGTATAGGGTCGATTTGTTACAGTTACACTATCTACGTTATTTGACATCTAGGGTCATGGACAAGCCATGATATCCTGCTCAATATTCGTGAAGCAAAACATACTAATTGTTCGTTCTCGAATTGAATCGTAAATTATTAATGATAAGAGAACAATCAATTATTCTTATAATCAAAGAGTTGAATCGTTAACTTTTTATTTTTTAAATTTTTTGATACTAAAGCTATGTTTGAGCCTTATTTTAAAAAAAAAAAATAAATTTTGTAATAGTAATTTTTCTTAAGAATGTGTTATTAGAAGTATAAAAAATTTTAAATTTACGTGCAAAATTATTTTATTGAAAAAATATGTGATTGAAAATGAGTTTAAAAAAAAAAGAATTTTTAGATAATATAACTCAATTATAATAATTAATGACTTTCTCTATGCACAACTGTACAAGTACAACCTCGAATCCGGATATTTAATAATTTAAATACTAGACAAATTTTTATATTGCAATAATAAATTTTCATTAATATCTTTACCGAACATGGAAGGTGGAGAGAATCTACAAATGCCCTTTATTTTTGGTTTCCTAAAAAAACCTAGAATTTAATTATAAGTAGAGAGAGAAATTCAAGAAAAAGCAGAGAATAAAAGAGACCAGATGTTGACAAATTTCGTGTCACTGTTCTCAGAAGGTTGATTGTTTTTGTGAGGATTTCTTATCTGGGATCTCTCTCACTAGAAAAATAATAATAAACATTACTTGTAGTAATATATACACTTGCAAAAGTTCTTTCTTTTCATATTTTTTCTTTAGAACTTGCTTTATTTTTTCCTTCTTATTTTCACAGGGAGAGAGAGAGAGAGAGAGTGGCCCAGTAGATAGAAATCTTCAATCTTTAGTTGAGTTTGATGAGGATCCAAGCTTCTTCAATGGGGTTATCAAACCTCTTACTTTATTTTTCGATTTTTTGTATTTGATAGTCATAATCACTTTTGCTCTTTTTGGCCTATTTTTTTGTGGCTTTTGCTCTGTTCTGTAGTGTAAGAAAAACTCTGAATTTTCAATGATTCTGATAAGGGTTCTTCAGGGGGAGTGATTCAGGATGTGGGTCTAAGGTAATTATATTTTTAATCACTCTCTCTCTCTCTAAGGAATTATGGGTTTTGACTGAACTTTACTTATAATTAATTATCTGATTAGTTCGATTATAATTGTTTTTAAATGACCGAGTTTTTCAGATTATGAGATTTATTGGTATGGATAATTGGATTGGTGCATTTGCTTTACCAGATTATGGGTTTTTGTTTATTAGTTCTGATTGATGGTTGGATTCAAGAAATGATATTTTTATATGTAGGATCTACTTAACTTCTCTTTCTCTAAGTCCAGTCTTGCAGAGGAAAAAATGATTGCATTTTTTGTTGCTCATAAAAGGGTTATTTAGTGATATAATTGAGATTACTTATTTTGTTTTGGTGTTGGTTTCTAATTCTCGTGCCTTATCTTTATCTTTCTTGCGAATTGCTCGTGCAGAGCATATATATGTTTTAAGTTCTTGATACTATGTTAAGTCGAATTGCTCGTGCAGAGCATATATACTTGTTAAGTTCTTGATACCATGTTAAGTCGAATTGCTCTGAGTTTGATCAAGTTTCCGAAATACAATTCTTTTTTGAAACACACTACATTGGGACCCATAAGTTATTATTATTATTATGCGCTCCATGCAGTGGTAGGTACTCTCGTTACATTTGTTTGAGAGCGTCCTTCTAGCACATTATGTTTCCAATATCAATCAATCTGTTTTTCTTTTGGGTGCATGACCTTTTGAGCTATGTTTCTTTCTATGAATGCCACTGTTTTTAGTTGAATTGCATTCTAATCAATGTTTTCTACGAGCAAGATGGGTGATGTTTCTATTTAAGCATGGGCATCCTTGCTTATTAAATTTGATTCTATTTTTATGATGCAAAATACTGATGACTACGAATTGGAATAGGTTTTTGATGCATTTTGTCATATTAGAAAATGAGACACGTGTTGAGTTGCTTCTCCTTCGATATTTTCAAAGAAAAATGTCTTCATCATGTCGTTCTATTAGCCACGTGTCATGTACATTCCCATGACTTTTACATCCAACCTCCCGATGCCATACCAAAAAAGTGTCTATCCTAGCATATAGGCAAGCTTTCAAACTATGATCTCACTGCAAGCACTTGTCTTTATTCACTTTTGTGGTTTAACATTCAATGTTTTATCAAGTACTTGGTAAATCTGTTTTTCTCTGCAAAGCAATATTCAATTGGATTTTAGTGAACCAATTCTTAGTGCAGTATGAATTGGACAGAATGTCTTGTTGATACCAAAACTTATTTTAATATTTACTTAAAAATTAATAATTCCCCTTTTTCATGCAATTTTTTTCGTAGTTAATGTTACAAATACATGCAAGTTATATGCCAAGAATGAAATCTTCAGTGCATTCTCTTTTTCTTTCTTTAAGGAGCCAGCATTTTTAGGAAAATTGTTGACTCCAAAGACATGAACCTGTAAAGAGAAAAATTACTTTTACGTTTACTTATCTGATAGTTGTTTACAGCGATGGGAACAAAATTGCATTGTGAAAGCTACTTAACAGGGTATTACTTCATGAGGAACCTCAACGAAGATTCTAGCTGCAGTAGCTGGCCCTTATCTTATGGAGATAAGAACTTAACAAATGTGCAATGTTACAATGGGTTCACGCCGAGGATTATAACAGATGGATATCCTGGGTATGATAAGAATGCTTTAAGGCAGAAAATACTTGAACATGAGGCGGTTTTCAAGAATCAGGTACCTTCTTTATCTAGTTATTCTGGTACAATGTGGTGCTCTATCGATCCAGCAATGTTGCAGAATGCTAATTATATGAATATTTAATATTACCCAGGTTAATGAACTCCATCGTCTTTATGGAATTCAAAGGGACATGATGGAAGAAATCAAAAGGAAAGAACTACATAAACATTGGGAATCAGTCGGACCATCATCGTCATCAAGTCGTCAAGTATCTCAAATGCCACAGGACAACACTCAAACATGGTGTACAACGGGCTCCCCCTTGTTAAATTCTGGTTATGGTAAAACATCCACTTCAGGAGTCGAAATTGTTAATTCTCCTCTGAGTTGTACAAAAGGGTACAATATGCCGGCTGGTCATAGCCCATTGCAAAATGGGTGTTCTTCAAAGGATTTTGAAGAATTGAACTTGAGACCCACTAAGATAAGGAAGAAGTTGTTTGATCTTCAACTTCCGGCTGATGAGTACATTGAAACTGAAGAAAGGGAAAAGTTACAAGACAACAAAATATCCAGCATTTTGAGTTACACTTCGAATGAAGATCAAAAAGTTATACCCGAAAGAAGTATGGAGATTTTCCTTGGTGCCTCCGCTAATGGAAAGACTTGTCACCAGAAAGATGCTTCGGGTTCTGGGTCCTGTTTGAGGAGCTTTTCTGGTTTGGCAGATCTAAATGTACCTGTTCAGCTTGACGAAGCAACAGCTCCTTCATCAGCTGATTTTCTTGGTCATACTTCCAACCATGGAGAGGAGATTAAACGCATAAGTCAGTCTACTAAACCAAATGTGGGATTTCCTTTCTTAAATTCGTTTCGTGATAGCAAAGTCAATGCAAGGGGGTTGCTCTCCCATATGAATGAAGCAGGTAAAGAGATTTTAAAATTTCTATAATATCCAAGTGCTTCATCGTCTTTACTGTCTTTCTATTTCTGCTATGAGCTTATGTCCATTAAATCCTATGCTTGTGTTTATTCAGGTGATATTGCCTTTTAGCATTAGCATACAAGTAAAAGGAAATTGAAGAACTTTATGCATCAGCTATCAATTTCAAAGGAATATTACCCACCCCTAACTTTTCTTGGAATATCATTGTAGAGATCTATTCAAAATCCATCGTATATTACAACATGCTCGTGTGTAAATTTGATTCTCTCTGTTGAAATCTTGTTTTATTCCCTACTTTCCTGAGAGACAGTAATCTTGAATGACTTTTGACTAGTATTTATTTGCCACGAACTTTTCCTGCATGCTGACAATTTTGAACGTCTCAAACATTTTACAGGGCCCAGTAAAGGCAACCCGAATTTGGTAACTCAAAGTTTCCAAAAAGATAAGGTTACTATACCTTCTCATCCTGCAGAAGTCCTGCTTAACCAGGCTCATCATCCTCCTGGATTATATCCAACTGGACATAGTGGGGAAGTTATATGGAGAAATGGGCTGGACCATGGTTTAGAATCCTCAAATAGGAATAGCAGTTGCTCCAATTACAGCCATTTGGATCCTGCTGTGGCTTCTCATATCCCCGATCCAAACCCATTTGTTCATTCTGGTTTTGCAAATTCACTGTCTCACTCTGTCCCATCTTGGGCAAAGCCAACAAGTAGCCTTGGTCAAAAGATAACCACATTGAGTAGGAGTATGCAGCCATCTACTCAAAGTCAGGAATCTTTTGGAGACAAGTGGAATGGTAGTTATCGGTTGAATCCAGGCTCAGAAAGTGATGTGGCAATCTGTAATGGGTTCTATCATGGGTCTGTCTCAGGATCCAAAGAACCAGTTCATTTACCTTCATCCGGCTTTGATTTTCTTAAGTGTGGTAGGGGTGATAATGTTGCATCTGAACGCTCAGTGAATCCTGGATTTGAGAAGTTTCTTAATGGTGCCAATCATGTGAACTTGAACGGGGTAACGACACAGAGTTCTCCAAATGAGGCTGTTTCTCAGAAATATTTTAATATGATGGATAGAAATAGTGCTGCCAAAGACCATTTATCGGTGTTTCCTTGGCTTGGATGCAAAACAGTTGACAAAAAGGAGGCTGCCAAAGCTAGGAAGCTAGAGCACTCTGAAATCTTGGGTTCCCTTCAAGCTTTTTCTAATCCATTGCATTTTAGGAGTGAAACAGTAAGAGATCTTAATCAAGTGTTCACTTCAAATATCTCTCTGGCTTCAAATGATTGTGAGATCAAGGCTAAGGGGGAGATAGGCAAGACTGAGAATAGTCAGAAAATTCTCGGGTTTCCGATTTTTGAAATCCTCAATACCCCTAAGCATGAGTCATCATCACTTTCTACCTCAGTGACTCTTGATTGCCCTTCTGAAGGAAAGAATGTAAAAAATGAAAAGAAAAATATATTAATTGATATTAATCTTGCTTGTGAATCCGAGGAGCAGATAGATGCTGAAGAACTGATTGTAGAGAACAAACAGCATTCGATGGGTACCATTATCAGGAGTCAAATTGATTTGAACACTTGTATTACTGAGGATGAAGATCCATCTGCACCTTCTGTTGCAAGCAACAGCGCCAATGTGAAGGTCGTAATGGAGATAGATCTAGAAGCCCCGGTTCTTCCTGAGATGGAGGATGATATTATACCTGGCAAAGAAGATAGACAAAATAAGGCATCTTTGCAATGTACTGAAAATAAGGCCGAGCATGTACAGGATGAAGTTGTCAGGAATGCGGCCAAAACAATATTTGTCATCTCATCATCTTGCCAGCAAATTCGCAGTGAGGATACAATTTGTTACTTGTCAGAAGCTTCTTTGGCAGAATCAATCCTCTGGTTCGCAGATGTTGTCTCGTCATGTGCGAATGAATTGAAAGGAAAAGATGATGCAACTATTCAAGATCTTCCCAAGGAGATAGACGATTTTGAGGCCATGACATTGCAACTCACGGAGACCAAGGAAGAAGACTACATGCCTAAGCCAATTGTTCCCGAAATCTTAAATGTTGAAGAAATGGGAACCACTTCATTACCAAGTAGATCCCGAAGGGGCCACGCGAGGAGAGGAAGGCAACGGAGGGACTTTCAGAGGGACATCCTTCCCAGTTTGGCATCATTGTCAAGGCATGAAGTCACCGAGGATATTCAGATATTTGGAGGGCTGATGAGAGCCACTGGCCATTCTTGGAATTCGGGATTGATTAGAAGAAATGGCACGAGAAATAGTGGAGCTCGGGGAAGGCGATGTAAACTCGTTGACACTACGCCCGCACCTGTTGAAAGTCCGGTTTGCACTCCGCTGATGCAAAAACTTAACAATGTTGAGGTTGGTTTGGAGGATAGAAGCCTAACAGGGTGGGGAAAGACAACTAGACGTCCCCGCCGACAAAGATGCCCTGCAGGTAATCCTCTAATCGTCTCCTTAACCTGAAATGGATAAGAGGTAAATGTATTGCTTTCCCTCAGCAAGACCTTAGGAAGCTTGTTTAATGACGTTCGGGAATGAGTTGATCGATAAATGTCATTGTAGCTTATAATTTGTGACTTGGTATCATATAGAAATAATGTTGTCTGATTTTCTTTTGGATACACTCCGAATATCTTCTGTGAGGTAAATTATGTTAGACAGAATACAAATTTTTTTTGGTCTTGAAACGTCTGTAATAGCAAGGCTAAAACCTGTGGTATTGCTCTATTTTCACTAAATAAACATTAGGTGTGTTTGTAAGTACTCTTTCGTTATCGTACAAGGGTCGAGCTTAGTACTCAACATAATTGAAGACCCACAAGTGTGAAATTCAAAATTTTTGAAAATTGTTTACTCTTTCCATTTCTATTTTTCTTTAAAGCATTCAATGTGCATACAAGTGTGAAATCCAAAGTGTTAGCAATGCGTGTTTGGCTAAGCTTAAAAAGATTTAATTATAAATAAATAAGTCAATTCTATAATAAATAATTTGTATGTTGGTAAGTTAATTATTTTGAAACGAAATCCTACATTATTATGGCGATAAGCAATCCTTTACCTATAAATAGAAATATACATATTTGAAAGAGTAATGTTATTTATTTTCATTGGTGCTTAGCACCAGTTTATGGGACAATTAGGTGCCATTAAATGATATATATATATATATATATATAGATGTAAAGTTAAATAATTCGTTTAATTGAACCTATTAAGTATGGGCATCTATACTGATACTAAATAGTATTATTCTATCTGCAAATGTTTTTTTTCCTTTAATAAATATCTTTAAGTTTAGCCAATCATGCAAACCTGTTATGTTAACATAAACTAAGGTTTTAGTTTCCAATCCCTTCGAACATGTAGATATCGGTCTTCACATTATGGAAAACGTCAATGTGAATATTAGAATCATACATAAAAATAAAAAAAAAAAATCGGGAATTTGAATCTCAACGTTAAACTTCGATATTTTTTTTTCATGACATTAAGGCTATGTTTGAGCCTCATTTTTTATTTTATTTTAGTAAAATTGAATTTTGTAATAGTGATTTTTTAGAGAGCGTGTGGTTAAAAAATAGTAAAAAATATTAGGTTGACGTACAATAAAAATATGTAGTTGATTACTTAACGTTCGATATGTTATGATATATATATAGGTAGAATGTCACGTTAAATATGTGAATCGAAGTCCTCACGATAAATTTTTGCCACTTTTAATTTTAAATTACGTGAGAAGTTAACATCATATGATTTAAGATTGAGTAAATGAGAGAGAAATATATAAATATTATATTATAGTAAGTAGTAAGTAACGTTGGTGGTGTGCGGATAAAGACAGAGGTGTTTGTCGTTTGTTTGAGTTCGATCGCACTTTGTGATTCTTAGATACTCAATCAACCAATCAAAATAAATCTTTTATCATTTTCAGTTTCTCCTTTCTGAATTATAGCAGCATATCCTACTTTTGTCATTTTGTCCTCACCATTCCACTCTCATTTAATTAATTATTAATATTTTAAAATCAACTCGAAAAAAATATAGTCAAATATCAAAATTTGATAAGGATAAAATTGGGGAATATGCTACTTGTATTTACTATGGTATTCATAACGATATCCACATTTTTCGCGTGAAGAGGGACCCACTTTTTATAAATTATATTTTATTCGAAATGTGTCATCTTCTATGTGAGACAGGTGAACGTCGTTATGAACATTTCAATGTGTGCGTAACATTACCCTAAAATTGCCCCTCGAGGCATAATCTGGTGGGCAAAGGACAAGAATGAGATAGTTTCAACTTTACTGACAATCGCAATGTGAATGTTCGATTCCTGAGATATAGAATTGAATTCTTTGTGGACACCAGTGTATGAACAAACTCTTGTTCCCTGACCTATTAGGATACATTACACGATTTGCCTCTTTCACAATACTCCAGAGGTAGGACGGTGGGCGTCTTCAAAGTTGGGTTCAACCTTTTTAACATTACCCTAAAATTGGTAGTAAATATTAATAAATCAATTGTACCAACTTATATATGAATTTGTAATTTAATTGGCACTTTGCCTGAGTTTGACGCTACTTTTTTCATAAAATTGATTCTAATAAGTAACCACCTAGATATTGTTTGAATCTACCGGTCAGAACAACAATTAAGACTTTAAACATGCGATTTTTTTTTTAAATTGCTTGATTTTTAATAGACTCTATTGACTTTGTATTCTATTTTAAAAGATCAATATTTTTAAGAAAAATGGTACAAGTGATTCAATTTTGTATGAACATGTTTGTGAGTGATTTTTTCCATCAAAAAATTGATTTTTGATTGTTATTTTACTATTTCAGTCGTCATATTTGACTTCTTCTATCACAGGTGGACCCCACTTTTCTCTTAATGATCAAAAAATTAATTCTCAAAATCACTCTCCAAACAAGCTCTATATTTAAAGGTATGGGATTTTATGCCAGATAAACTAAGGTACGACTTGACAAATTTTTTTATTTTTTTTAATTGAAAATTTCTTTTCTTGTTACATAAGTTTCAATTTAGAATGATGGAAAGACCATTTGCCTTTAGTACTTTTCAAATTTTCTAGTAAAATGGGTTAGGCTAATAAGAACATGGATGAAATTCATTCATTTGGATGAAACGCCATCTATTTTCTGAAGTTTAAAAATAAATGTGGGGGGGGGGGGGGGGGGGGAAAAGAAAAAAAAAATGGGAAATTTTTTTTTTTTTTTTTAC